CCAACCGAGAGGCTGGCTGACCCTCAGCATCAGGCCTCATCCCTGGCCAGCTGCGGTCTGAGCTGCCTGGCTCACATCCCTGTGTCCGCCCCTCATCAGTAACCGGACCCGAGTCCCCTCGGATGTCTCGGGCCCTGGCACGTGGGAAGTCCTGCCAGTGTTCCAGTGCTGGTCCTTGATCAGTTGACTGCGAGATCCAACTCCTGTGTTGCTTGGAATGGCAGCTGGACTGACTCCTGCATGCCGTGTTTCTCAAGCTGGTGTTAGCTGACCCGTGGCTGACTTTAGACAGAAAGATCCTAGCAGACTGGAGGACAGGAGGAAAGGAGAAGTCAGGGAATTTCTTTCTGTGCTCTGGGAAGAGTCTCCTACATGGATCCATTCTGGCAAACCTATCTGTTTCAACTTCTGCAAGTGAGCTCAGCCTTTGGGCTCTCTGACCTCTCCTTCCTCGCTCGCCCTGTCAGTTCACAGCTATCTCCTGCCCCTCTGAATCTCTGGGTTGTTTCCCTGACCCCTTGGCTTCTCACTCATTTTAAATGCTTGGGGTTTTTGTTAGAAAAACAACCAAAGAGGGTGGTTTTTCACACTCTGAAAGTTTAATTTATGCATTTCCAAGTTATAAGCTATGAAAACCTTTTCTCGATTCTCTTTAAGCAGAAAATACTGCTAGCAAGAAGAGTCTAGCTCCTAGGGGAATTGAGGGCTCAAGTGGCCCTCATATATAAACCCAGACTTTTTTTTTGTTAAGATTTACTTATTTATGCTTACAGAACTAGGATACAGGCCAGAGGTGTGGTGGGTGAGAGGATTCACCAGAGACAGAGTGGGGAGCAGAATAGGCAGATCAACAAAGTACACTGCTGAGAGGAGCAGCGGGTGGGTCAGGAGAGGTCTGCTGCGCCATGTGGGTCAGCTCCTTAGAGGGGGATCGAACTCGTGCTGCAGTGACTTCGGAGAGCTTCGCAATGCAGTGCTCTAACCCGTTGCACCACCAGGGAAAGCCTTAAATTCAAACTTTTTTTTTTTAGGATAAGTGGACTAGTTGGCCCATGTGAGTTGTAGGTACAGTTAATTGGTGGACTCTGGAAGGGTTATATCAACTTATAATGCTAGAACAAAAGGAATAGGAATTTTGGAACCAAAAGGAGAGTTCAGAGCTCTTCTAGTGATTTAGAAGTTTGGCCATAGAGAAATCATATACCTAGAATGAGGGTAGTTGACCTGAGCAGTATTTAAGAGCCCAAGATGTGAGCAAGGCCGGCAAAGGAAGCCCCTGACACTGGACCTTTCAAACCAGGGGCCCTGAGGGTTTGTCCAGCCAGTAGAATCTGTGGAAAGAGACAGGGTCCGGTGTTGTTTGGTTTCCTCTTGCAGTTCTTCACTTTGTGCCCCCTGCCAGAGTGAATTATCCAATAGTTCAAAAGTGAATCCTGCTCTTGGTCGCCAGGTTTCAGGGAGGCCCATGTGTGGGGGCTCTGGGACCCATTTCTTTTCGTAGATGTGAGGCTCACAGAGGCATTTATTCCACTGATCTGGTCCCTGGTGAAAGGATTATCCTTATTTTAAAATGCAGGCTACATTCTAGGGCAGATTCTTGGTTTTATTTTTATGAAATTTTTGTAAGAATATGGAATATTAAGTAGCTTTAAGATGTTTAAGCTTTAAACTTTAACAGACAGCTTGGTTCACATGTGAACTGTGAATATCTTTTCATGTTCATTCCATCTGAAAACAAAAATAGAAATGAATAAGTGTATTATGTAAACCCAGCTGGGTTTTTATGACCATCTCTGTATTGGCTTTATTTAAAAATATGGATGGTACCTAATAGAATATTAATAGGCAGAGACATTGAACTAGTGCCATGTTGGCAGTTCCCACTGAAAAACCCAAGTGGTAATTAAGTTTTCCAGCAACAGTTATACAACAGCTACATTATTCTGCCAATGAAGCATCCCTGGGAGAGTTAAAGCACAGCTGGAAGCTGACTCCAGTGTTGCCAGTGGAAGTATTGCCGAACTCTCTAGTAATCCCGCACACATCCCCAGTGTTGGCTTTTATGTATTAGCTCTTGGAAATTAAAAAGAGAGAGAGAGAGAGAAAAGGGAAGCTTAATAGTTAATACAGGGGAATGACTTTTCATCTAAGGATTAGGTAATATTCAAGAGAAAGCTCTATCCTAAAGGGTGTTTGTTTTAGTTAGGATTCTCGGCTACCAGGGACTGCAGCCAAGCTCAGACCAGCTTAAGCAAAAAACAAGGTTTTGTTTGTTTTTGCAGATCTGGGTGTAACTCAGAGTTAGAGGAAAGGTAGGAACCAGGCCCAGGGAATCAGTCCAAGTCCTTGAAACACATGGTCCCCTGTCTCTGTTCACCTCCGTCTCTGCTTCTGTCCACCTGCAGCTTTATTTTTTCAGCCCTCTGCCAGGTGGAAGCCAGGGTCCCCAGAGCCTTGCCTCATGTCCTTTTTTTTTCTCCTGACCAAGGAGATGAGGAGCGAATGCGTCGTCCTTGTCCTGGTGCCTGGTTCCCTGCCCCTGCCCTCAAGCCCAGCTCCAGACCACAGACCAGCCTGGAGGAGGACTGAGCGTGCGCCTCCTGTGTGCCGCTGGCAGGCCACAGCAGAGCCCCTGAAGCTGGGGACTGAGCCGTTTCTTTCCCAGGAGGGGAGGAGGCTATTTGGAGGACGAAAGACTTTGATTGGCTACAGTTAGCAAGAGGAAAAGAGAACTGAGGTCCAAAAGAGCAATGGGACTGGGTTATGTCTCCTCAAGTTCTTAAAACTGCATAGAATAGAAAAACCCAGCGAATGTTAGAATTTTTTAAAAAAAGACATACACGCACATATGCATGTGTACATAGCAACATATGATATGTTAAATGAAAAGAAAATAGATCATAAAGTAGTGTGTAACAGCAACTTCTATTTCCTGAAAATAAAAAGAAGGCAGCTGCTCTCCTTGTGCTCCTGTGTTTGCCGACCTGAGCCTGCAGGAGAAGAAAGGTGTGGAAGACATATCAGAGGGGTGCAGCAGCTCATGCGTGTGTCGTTTTTCCTTCTTAAAAACAAGCCGTGTTATGCTTGTCACTTGAGGAACAAGTGATAATGGCATTTTAGTTAACTTAGACTTAGTTCAATTACAAATGTGTGTAATGGAAGGATGACTTCAAGGCAGGTGGCTCCGACTGTTGCCAGGGACGAGCCTGCCCCCTCCTGCTGCCTGCTAAGAAGGGCGAGGGAGAGAACAGAGCTGGGGGCCGGGATGGGAGGCTGACTCTAGTGGGGACACTGAGTTGTCTGTGTTTTGTGGACCCGAAGCAGGGGTGATTGGATAACTCGTGTGCATCTCAGGGACAGAAAGAGGGAAGCGAACTCTAGGTTCACAGTGAAAGAAGTAAAGTGGAGATTAAAGAAAAAAACCCATAAGAATTATATAGATATAAGTTGAATATAAATTTGCTAAATGTAACTGATTGTATGGGAGAATTACAGGTTTTATTTTCTTATGAATATTTTTCTCTGTGTACCAAAGTCATAGTGGAATATGCATTACTTTGATATGGGGGGAGGAGAGACATTGTCTTTTAGAGAAAACAAGGCCTGTTTCTTTCATGGAAAATGCCCCCTTGTCATACGCACAGGTGATGAGATGATGCCCATAAGTGCACTGGGGGCTCATCCCAAGGAGATGTGTGTGGACAGAGGCAGGCTCTCTGCGTGATAACTAACCAGGCAGCCCAGCCAGCTTCTAGGAGTTGACAGACCAGAGCTGGATAGGAAGTAAGAGGGACAGCTGGGAAGGGTCCCAGAAATACTGGAGCCTCTCCAGCCATCCTCACCCACAGGCAAGCTTCTGCTGGAGAGAAGCTGTGTCTGTGGCTTTGTGGTTGAAGTCAGTATTACAGAATTAGGCCCCTTTCCTAACAAGGGGTACAGAGCCAGTCCCGAGACTGTCCCTGGATGCCACAGATTACATTTCAAGCTCTCGTCCTGTTCATGGGACTCAGGTAGAGAGAACTTGCTACTGCAGCTGCCTGTTGAGCTGAAAGGGTTGTCCATTTGGTGCCATAAATGCCCTACTGGTCTATCCTGGCTCCAGGTAATTACTTCCAGTGCCACCTAGCTAGGCTGTTCCCTTCTTGCTGGGCCACAGCTGCTTAAATGTCCTGGTGCCAAGAGCCACAAGGCAGTCATCAGCTATTGTGCCTGCCCAGTGCAGTGCTATCCGGGAGAACTTTTCATATTGCCGGGCATGCTCTGTATCTGCACTCTCTGTTCAGTAGTCCCCAGCCACAGCTAACTCTTCCACACTTTAAAGGTGGCTAGTACCACTGAAGAGCTGAATTTTTAAATTTCGTTTCATTTTAACTACTGTAAGTTTATATTTATGTACAGGTTTCCCTGTTACCCCAAAAATAGAACATTCCTATTTGTTGTGGTTTAGTAGGTTATTTTAGGGGTCTGGTAATGCTCAAAAATTTTCTATGTAAATAGTAATAACATTCTCACATCCCCAAAATAACCATCAGATCGCACCAAATAGGAGCATTCTACTTTCAGCTAGCAGGGGAGTCCTATAGGCTCATGCGGCTTATGGCCGCCATATTGGAACACACAGCTTCTTGGCTGGAAAATACTAACACAGCGTAAACATCTTGACTGCTGACCCATTTGTTTTTTAAATTGAAATAGACTTTTTATATTTCAGAAAAACATTTTGGGTTCATTACAGATAATACAGACAAGAGGGAGGAAGTAAAAAGTCACAAAAACACCTAGTCAGAGATAACTACTCTTGGCATCTTGGTGTCTAACCTTCTAAATTCTCTGATATGCGTTCGGCACAGGTAGCCAATTAGCTTTCAGAAGCTTAGTTTGAGATCATCCAGAAAAGAAAAGGCATGTCAGTAGGAGTGACTGCCTGTTTATTGTCAGAAGAAGGTCCTGATGCAGGGGTCGGTGTCTGCTCTGGCTGAGGTCTCCCTGTTCGCTGCTAGGTCATCAACCCCATGGGATGGGACGCATTTGGCCTGCCTGCCGAAAACGCCGCCATTGAGAGGAATCTACATCCAGAAAGCTGGACACAAAGGTATGTGTAGCAGTTCTTTCCGAACACATATGTGCACAAAGAAGGCTTGAAAAATGTTCTAACCCATGCACAAGCAGCAGAAAGCAGAGGAAACAAAGCATCGCAGTGTGCCGCGTGGTGGGAGGCCGTGTGTCTTGGCATTGTGCCTTTAGCACCTGTGCTCCTGTCTGAGAGGTCACCAGAGGGGCTGAGTCTTCATTCAAGTGCTCATTGGGATGTTTTGTTATTTACAAAGTTGTTCTTCCTTTGAAGATTTGCTTTGAGAAAGAAAAAGGAGGAGGGGGTTACTTTTGTTAAGTTTCCACGTGCTTCTCAACTTCTTGACCGTAATTTTAACTATACTCAAATTCTACATTATATTTTCTTTAACAATTCTGAATTAACATTCCAAAATAGTAAGAACATAGATATTCAATGTAGAACTATAAGGTCAATTTATCCTGGGTGTGACTGTCTCCAAAGAGGACACTCCCAATCCTACCAGTGCCTCACTTTTCTGGTACATGTGGTTCAAGTGTGCACATCCCTCTCCTCCCCGCACCCTTCCCCCCCAGAAAGTCTTGAGGTGTGCTATAGAACCCAGCAGAATGGCCCCTTCTGTATCAGTTAGAGTCAACTCTAGATTAATGGGAGTGATTGAAAAAAAAGAAGGAAATGATGATTCAAATAAAATGGATTGACTATCACATACATTTAATATAAGCCCTGCTTATATTATTATATTAATATATCATATTAATATTGGCCCTGCTGATCTTGTAAATAAAGTTTTATTGGAACACAGCCACACTCATTTGTTGACATGTGCTTCCCATCTGCTTTCCTGCCGCAATGGCAGAGTTCAGTGGCTCACAGAGCTGAAAACATTTACCATCTGGCCCTTTGTAGAAAAAGTTTGCCAAGCCCTCCAACAGAGCCAGGCAGTTAAGAGGATGGCCCCTGGATCGATCCTGTCACTAAGTTGCAAGCCTGCCTTTCCTCCTTGCTACTAGCTAATCATTTTGACTCTATGCCTCGGTTACTTAACTCTCTATGCCTCAGTTTATGTATCTGTAAAAGAGGGATAGTCTAACCCTTGGTTGATTTATTTCTCATGGTTCTAGGGACTGGGAGTTCCAGAATCAAATTGCCTCCAGATTTGTTGTCTAGTGAAGGCCCACTTCGTTCATAGACAGCCATGGGCTTTCTGTGTCCTAGCTGGTGGAAAGGGCAAGGAACTCTCTGGGATTCCTTTTATAAGAGCTCTAATCTCATTCATGAGGACTCTACCCTCATGGCCTAATCACCCCTCAAAGACCCCAGTTCACATAACATTACAGTGGCATTGGTTCTATACATGAACTTGCAGGGGTGGGCCGTGGAGGGGGGTAGGGAAGGCGACAAAACAATCATTCTATAAGAAGCACTTTTCTACAGAATGCTTAACACAAGGATAAAATAAGCTATTATTAACGAATCAGAGATAACCTGGAGAACTTTTCCATGACTTTCTGTATTTTCAATCTGCTTGAACTGAAAGAGGTGTGGTATCAATCAACTTGCCCTTTATATATAAAAAAAAAAGTCTTATTTCATATTACATTAAAGTCGATTATGCCTCTCCCTCTCGCCCAGTTGTTGAACTGTTTTAGGTTTTGACTGACAATCTTTTGGATTCCCACAAATTGTTCATTAAGGCTTTTCTCTTCAGTAGCTTTTAAACTTGTAAATGCCTGACTTAAATTTGTGCAGAAAACAAACATATGGGTGGGCCAAGAGTACATGTATCAAAGGGACTCCCTACCTGAACAGCTAGCTCCAGAGCCATAGACCATTTCTAGTAGATTCTTTCTGAGTGCAAAGAATAGTGTCATCTCACTGATATCTTTGCTGATTCTTGGGGATTGATCTTTTTGCCATGGCAGAGCAACACTGAAAGTTATTTTGAATAATCTAGATTTTTCCAGTTTTCCTTCATGTTCTCAAAAGGTAGCATTATGACGTTTCTTTGCTCTAAAAAGCCAACTTTCTTCCCTTTGCTTCACAGTAACATTAAGCACATGAGGAAACAGCTTGATCGACTAGGACTGTGCTTCAGCTGGGATAGGGTAAGTGACTCCTTCTCCTGGAAGGTCTTTATTTTAAGGAAGGACATGATTGCTAGGGGAGTGTACACATTTTCTTCCTGTTCCTCCTTTTCAGGAAGGGAGAAGACAGGAGGAGGCAGGGCGCAAGAGGACAGGATTAGTATTCCACAAATGAGAAAGTATCCCTAGTGGATAATTTGTGTGTGAGCAAGCACTTTTCTGTGGGATTAAGCGTTAACTTATTTAACTTCCCTGTTGGCTGTGATTTATGTGTGACGAAAGCTTTGCACAAGGATTTTTCCTGTTCCTAATAATTTTAAAAGACTGTTGGACTCTGTGTAAAAGTGATTAAATATCAATCCACTGGTCCTTTTAGGTGATTATGTATTAAGTTGATTGACTATTTGTTTAATCTTTTGTTTGTTCCAAGTTTCAGTTGAAACTCATAAGATCTCTGAATGACTTTGTCACAAATAGGCTCTTGGTATAAAGTGTTTTCCAGCTGTAGATTAAACCGTGGAGAACGCCAGGGGAGGTGTTCACTGAAGACCAGCTGGGTGTTAAATATGAACACTCCTGTTAAATATGAACTGAGCCCTGCAAAGCTCTGCCAGAGATCCACCCCTCACTAACGAGTGGTCAGGTAGGGAAGATGGACCCCTCTCTGTCCCTCCATGAAGACCCTTCAATAGCATGACCCTTCTTAGAACCCCATTTACTCCACAAAAGAATGGGGTTTTCATTCTGGGTCTGCCAAATTCAAGTTCACATTCTTTTAGTCATGAGAAATATCTGGACTAAACACAGATGAGGTCTTCCCCCAACAATTATCTCTTAATTGATTGAGAATTGATGAAAAAACAGAAAATCAAAAGTTAAACAGTTGAACAAGTCCTGATTATTTTTATTTATTTTGTGTGTAGCTTCTTTAGTTAGGAGCACAGACTGATTCACATTCTGACTGCACCACCATGCCTTTTCAGCGCTGCCTTACGAGGTCATCAGTCTTTCATTTGGAAGAGGTGTGAAGAGGTGCCAGCTCCTGGCCCAAGTTGTCCCGGGGTCCCAGCGGGGAGCCACTGGTAGAGGATAAAATGTAGTCTAGGGAGAGAGAGCTGAGGAGTCTGAGAGCCCTTTAGAGATGAGATTTTGGATTTCTTGAAAGCAAAGAATTTATTGAACTTCTAGAATGATAATGAGCATAGTCCTCACAGTACGATCAGTTATAAATGGTTAACACAGTACGATCAAATATAAATGGTTAACAAATAAGTGGATTATCTTCCTGATTATTGTAGATTAGGAGATAGAGAAAAGAATAAATGAGAACATAATCAGTGTGGCTAATTTAACATCTTGGTTTGGTTGTTTGCAGCTTTTTATTCTAGTTCTATAAATATATAGCAATAAACTACATCTATCTAGTTTGTTGTTGCAAAATTGAATTGAGAAGGCATATATTTTTTTATTTTTCTTTTTTTACTTACAACTCACTGATGTCTTCCCATTTTATCTAATATTCTTTGAAAAAGTAACTTTTTAAAAAGCTGTATTTTCCATCTATGAATATATCACAACATATTTAATCTATCCTTTATTATTATATGTGTAGGTCTACACACCCTGGTGTTTCTTCAGTATAAATATATAAGTTCTCAGTACCTCCTGTGTAAATCTGAAGTCCAGAAAACTCTAAAAACAAAGTTTTTTCATTATTATCTTAATGGCAGAATCTGATCTGAACGAGGGGTAGCTCATGACAGAGTGAATATATAAATATATTTTACAATAGGAATACCAGTATAATTGATTACTGGGTATCCCCCCCAGATCTAGTTGAGTAAACATACAATTATCTTTTAATAGAATTAAGACCCCGAAGGTCTTAATTCCGAAACTCATTTGACTGCAAACGTTTCAGTAAGACACATTCGAACAGGTAGTGCAGTGTATAGGTAAATATCATCATTCCTGCTACCACTGTCTGACAGTTGCTGAATGCCTGGTGTAGACCAGGCACCCTAATTATCTCTGGCTCCCTAGAAAGCTCTAAAAGATGGGTACTCATGGACTTCATTTTATTGCTGATCACCCAAGTGGCAGGGCTGGGCTCATCCTCTGGACATTTGATTGCTCTGCTCACCCCCAACCTTGAGGCAGAAATCTCAGCACACATATCTTATTTCCTTAACATGAACTCTCAAAAAGCCATAAACACATTTAGGGTCTAAGGTATTTACAATTAAAGAACTTAAAAGTATAATATGGCTTATGCTACTTAATGGTATATGGCTGTATAAAATCATACTCCCAGGATATTAGTTTTTTTTTTTAATGTGATTCTTTAATTATTAGTGATAATGAGTTTGTTCGATGATGCTTGAATGGGTGCAGATGTTTGAACCATCAAGTCATATCTTTTGCTTTGCCCATTTAAGTAAAGGTGTTTATCCTTAATGATTTTTGTTTTGGTACAGATATTTTCCCTCCATTTATTGTTTGCTTTGCATTTTGTTTGCAGGGGGATGATTATTATTAGCATACAAATGTGTACTTGGAAAGACTTTCTTTGAATTACATAAATATATTCAGGTTTTTTCTTTTTGTTGTTGTTGTTTAATTTTTACATTTAACCCAACTGAATTATTACAATATATGATATAAAGAATTACTACTTTTTCTAAAGGCCAGTTGTTTCTGTTTTTTATTTTTAACGTCCTTTCTACCTTAATTTGAAAGCTTAACTTTATTGAAACCATGTTATTTTATACCATTTTTATACTCTTAAGTTCAATTTGTGTTCATTGATCCACTTATTCTGATGTCATTACTAAACTCTATTTAATTATACTGGCTCTATAATTGGTCGTAATACCTAGTAACAGAAGTTTCCTCTCACTGTCTGATACTAATAGTGCCACCACTATCATCTTGTGTTTGTCTTTCTTTAAATATGTTCTGTCCATTTTTATATAATTTTTTAGGAAGGTTGTATTTATTTATTTGTGCATATAAAAACAGGGGTTAAGGCCAGAGGTGTGGAAGGTGAGAGGATTCACCAGAGACAGAGTGGGGAGCAGAAGAGGCAGATTGACAAAGTACACTGCTGAGGGGAGCAGCAGACAGGTCAGGAGAGGTCTGCTGAGCCATGTGGGTCACCTTCCTGGCCAGGGGGTGGAACTTAGGCGGTTGTGGTGACAGTACTGAGACTTAACCCCTCACCCATGAGGAAGACCCATAATTTTTTTTTTTAAAGATTTATTTATTCATTTATTTATTCAGAGCTGGGGTACAGGCCAGAGATGCGGAGGGTGAGAGGTTTCACCAGAGACAGAGTGGGGAGCAGAACAGGCAGATCAACGAAGTACACTGCTGAGGGGAGCAGCCGGGGATCAGGAGAGGTCTGCCACGCCATGTGAACTCCTCTGGGGCAGGAGGGAATCGAACTCATGCGGAAGTGGCTTAAGCTTCTTAGTGCTGTGCTTTAACCCGCTGTGCCACCAGGGAGGGCCTGACCCATAATTTTTATCCATTATTTGTTGAATTTGTTTGGTGCCTCACTTGTTGATGCAATTAACTTAAAAATATAAAAGATGGGCATGCATCTGGGTTCTCTGTAACAAGGAGCATCAGCTATTTGATTTCTTTTCATAACTCGTATTCCTTTACTTTTTAGTATTTATTTTTCTTATTAGACTTTTTAAAGTATAGGTTTCTTGCTTTTTGGATTTTGCTGTTTTCCCTCTAGTGATTAAAAAAAAAGTTCTATTTTTTATTCTGCCAAAAGATAACTGGAAGAGTTAAAAAACAACCCCAACAGGCCCTCCCTGGTGGCGCAGCGGGTTAAAGCACAGCACTAAGAATCTGAAACCACTTCCGCATGAGTTCGATCCCGCCTACCCCGGAGGTGACCACATGGCCCGGCAGACCTCTCCTAACCCACCCACTGCTCCCCTCAGCAGTGTACTTCGCTGATCTGCCTGTTCTGCTCCCCACTCTGTCTCTGGTGAAGCCTCTCACCCTCCGCATCTCTGGCCTGTACCCCAGCTCTGTATGCACAAATAAATAAATTTTTTAAAAAAAAAAACAACCCCAACATATTAGTATCAACATTAAAAAAAAAAAACCAGTATATATTTTTTCACTCCCCATTTAAGTTCAGGAAATTAGCAGGCATTTCCCTCTTTCTAAACTTATTTTTCAGAGGTTTGCTTTTTTTTGTATGTTCAGGTCCAATTTATTATGGGTATTTTTTTTTTAATCACACTTCATTTCTTAAACATTTTGTTTGTATTTGCTTCCCGTTTTTAAGTGCTTTTCATACAATTCTTAAAATTGAATGCTCTTCAGCTAGTTTCCACGCTCATCAGTAGACTTAGTGCTTGACTGCCCATTTAAATATTTTTACTTTGTGACATTTTTCAAAGTTTGGCTTTAACTCTTGCTCTGGATCGTCTGACATCACACGCTATTTTCTAACCGAGACTAACTTGCTATTGCCTCTACCCAGGAACAGCAATTCACTAGAAAGTGGAATTCTTTTTTCTTTCAAATCGCTGTAGGACTTGTTTTATTGCCTTTAAAAAATAATAATAATTATCGAGCTTTCCTGCCCACCTGTACCTATGCAGGCATCTCTTTTTTCTTTCTCCTTTTCCTAATAAACTTGACCTTTTAAAATGAAAATAAGTAAATAAAATAATCATAGATACACAGGGAAGATGCCGAGGTAGTTTCCATAGATCCTCTGTACAGTTAATGAAGCTTTCCCAGGCAAATGCCTTATCTATTCTACATTACAGTATCAAAACCAGGAAACCGACACTGGTTTAGTATTGTTAACAAGAGTACAAACCTTTTACAAATTTACCCATTTTTTCCATGCAATCTCTGTGTGTGTGGTAAGTAGTAGTGTTACAGGGCAAGGAGAGAGGGGCACCAGTGAACCCCAAAACCTGCCTGCTCTAAATAGGTTCTGCCATCTGCCGCATCAAGACAAAACATATAAGACTTTAATGAAA